AACAAATAAGGTTTAGTTGACGTAGTGGTTGTTAATTACTTATAACTTCTACAGTAAAATATAACATGAAGGACGAGAGATTCAGAGAGATTCACCTGATATTCTTATAATACAGCACGAAAACTTCAAGTTTTATTTAATACGCTTTGTGGGTTCACAGAAGAGATAATCTACTCGAGCTTCTGAAAAAAGTATTATAAAACGTATAAAAAAAATTTTATAACAATTGTGTAATAATCTACAAGATTGGAGCACTCGGGACGTTCACCCCTGTTGATTAAAACTCGATTCATAGAGTCGGACTGGACTGGACCGGACTTTTAATATTCCTATTGATAAATGTACGTGAAAAAATTGTGTCAAACTTCTTAAAAAAGAGAGCTTGATCGTTTGATTTACCCCATATAGAAATTTTCGACGTGTCAGTTTGTGGCTTAAGATTAATATATAAGTCAAACCTCCGTTTTTACCATTTTTAAGTTAACCTCTAACAAAATGTCACAAATACCGCCTTAGGTGTATGAAACAATAGAAAGAATAGCTCGACTTGGTTACTATTTTCGTTTCTCCAGTACAGAGAGTGTGTAGACGATTTCACATATGACAAAGTGAAAGAGCATATGTTATACAAGAGTGCTCTGAATTTGTTATCCAAAGATCACGTTCAAGCTCGAAAGTGTCTTCTTAATTTTGAGGTTAAGTATTATATTTATTAGCAATTAAAGTAGACCATCATGGCAGATTCTGTTCACACCCCAAAACTTTAGATATGTTTTTATAATAAATTATGTATTGACATATGATTAATTATCATAAAAAATATATGTTAGAGTATTTATAATTTAAATTTTGGGGCTATATTTAATTTAGGGTGTGAACAGAATCCGCCGTAATGTGAATCATGGTTGGGTTCAAGGACTTGAATACATTCTGGTCCCGAGACAAATACGTGATGTATTGACAACCCTGAGTAGCTAGCTGAATTTGCTTTGGCAATGAGAGTGGAGTTCGTCTTCCCTCAGGTGTCTTTGAATAGACTTCATGTTATTGCCATAACGCAACTGGATGAGTTCACCCCAACTGGTTGTTAGACTTCGTGTTATGTTATGGTTCAACTTTGATTCATTAATAATAGTAGTTTCAAAAATAGGTTTTTAACTTATACTAATATCTGTTTTCTTTTCTATAAAAAAATGAGAGATCTTTTGATAATGTCCTCAATTTCTGGACAAAGATCAAAAAAAAAACGCTACGGGGATCTAATTGACATCGCAAGGATAAGTGAAAAATATAGTGATTTTAAAGTTAAATTTTTAAAGACTATTTTGAAATATAATAAATATATAGTAAAAATTTGAATATTTATTTTAATAATTTTTTAAAAGTTTACTATTGGCAATATTAACCATGCCGAATTAGACATACCTATCTTAAGCATAGTGGAAGTTCATTTTGGTTGAGATCTTTTTATATTGTCAATTGTAATTTTTAAAGTACTTTTAATAAGTAAAAATAGTCATGACATATAAAATTTTTTTTCCGTAAAACGTAAATATTACAATGACTTAACATATTGCTTTTTACTTTTAAATTTATTGTTTTTTAACAACTGATGTAATAGGATGCAAAAGATTGAGAAACTAAATAAGAGGTGAAGGTTTTAAAAGGTTGGAAGATGTTTTGACGACCCAAGCAATTAGTAAGTGAAAGTTGCAAGACTTTGCAGTTCTACTTTGTTTTCTATAAGTAAAAAGTATTATGTGGTATTGCTATTGCTACAACAAAATTGGACTGGCAGATTCTTGATTTTGATTGGCTAAGAGCAACAATCAAAAATTAGGCCGGAATTACTCATAATTTTACTAATGAAATCATAGCAGCCTATTAAGTAAATATTGTTCCTGGGCCAATTTTACCATAATGTGGGCTTATTTTTAAAAAGTTTCTATTTTTGTAATGAAAAAAATAAAAAGTTAATTCCGACCGGAAATTAGTAAACAATTTTGTAATGTGGGCCAAAATTTTGAAGATCCTCGGCCGTTAGCCAATCAAAATCTAGGATCTGCTGGTCCGCGGCAGCTATGGTACCAATCATTATCATGAAACGCGAAGGATATCACTGTGGATTTTTTTGACCGGGTGGCGAATATTCTGTTGAATCTAAGAAATTAACTTGGGTTTATTCAATTCTGAACGCAGCACGACATATATGTGTACGGTAACGAATTCAATAACAAGGCCATATATTTGTATGGACGATGTTTCATAATACAGACAATTTTGTTAACTAATGATAAAAATCAATGGTGAGATGTTCAAAGATCACCTAAGGTTTTAGACATATGTGATGGTAGGATTCATTTCCAGCGTCTTATGATTATATCAAAGTATATATATACCAAAAAATAAGGTTTTTTAAGATGTGCATTATGTGAAATTAAATTACCGTAAAATTCGGCAAATAAAATCTTTACAAGTTATTTCCGTCAGCGTTATTTATGTAGCTATTGAGTTTTATTCGATTTTAAAAATGTTATACAATCGAGATTTTATATAAATATATCACGAGAGATAGTAGATGAGTAATTTAAAGTTTACTATCACGCAATACTTTTTAAACAATACTTCTCATTTGACTTCACCTTATTCGCTCTATATTATACGTAGTTTTGTAGTTCATGGGCATAAAATAATATTAAATAGCTGGTGCGAATAAGAAACATTGATTAGCCTGATGTACGTCAGATAGTACGTATAATACTAGGGTGGGACATCAACTAAGTAATCAAAACTATGTTAGCAACGTTGATCAATTTACTAAGATCAGATTTTATTGCCGAAATTAATAGTAATAAATTGAAGATTTTTTTATATCAAAAATATACAAATTTCTAAAAGATTCAGACGAAAACTGCACTTATTTTTCGAATTTTTTTTAAACGAAGAGCATTCATAAGAATTATCTCGAAGGTTTAATGTTGAATTTTTTGCGAAAGTTTTAAGTAAATTTTTACTTAAGGTTTCGAGAGATATATTTTTTGCTCTAAATCAATCAAATTTAAAACATTCTGTTAGATTTTATAAGTCGAATGCCCAAAACTTATACGTTGACACAAAATTTTCAACATTGTTTTATTCTCTAGCATTTTAAAAACAATTTGTGAAAGTTTCAAAATAATTTGATGCCTTGACAAGAAGTTGAATCGGTTTGAAATTTTTTTGTATTAGTAATCGTAATCATTAGTATTTGAATAAAAAAATTGATCGTTGTTCGTGTAACATAAAATCTGTGATTTATAAAATTTTATAGTTTGCTAACATAGTTTTGATTACTTAGTTGATGTCTCACCCTAGTATAATACGTACGTACATTTATTTAATTCCATAATAATACATATAAAGAACGGTTATTACCATATATATATCTTAATTTGTGTCAATATATCGGCTATATATATATTTGTTAATAAATGTATTTAAGGTGAATTATTCAAGCTTATGAAAATTTTACTATGAGCGATACGTAACACGTTATTCTAAATCATGAATTATACGTACAGTACGTATTAAAAATTATTAAAACCTTAGTTCAATTGTGTTTTAAGAAATGTATTCTTATTATATAAAAGTAAATATATATTCAGAAAGTATGACTTACAGGCGTCAATCATATGCAGCCGCACTCCCCTATAGTTACACCATAGAAACCTATAGAAAAAATATTTTTGTTTGTTTAATACAGCATTACACAGTTCATTCAATTCCATCTTATTCCGCTTATTAATCATAATAAAGCAAGATGTTAAAGTTCTTGGTTATTTGTTCTATACGAGATATTTTTAATTTGAAAATATATTTGCATTGAGAATAAACTATCCAAATTTTTAAAATTAAAATTTAAAAGGTTTAGGCCACAGATAAGTTTCTATGTTTACTTAGTTATATGTCTGAGTTCTTATTCTTAGTACTAGGCTTAAATTATAAAACCTTTTCCAATCATGTAAAAAGTTTTCATTAAGTTTAATAAAGATAAGAGCAAAGTCTCACCTTAAAACATTAAAAAAAAAAAAAAAAATTGTTTTTATAGTTAAATCAATATTTAAAATTTTAGTTTAAGTTAGTAAACAAAATTTCTGTTTACAGATTAAAAGATACGACCATATATACATTTTTTTGAGTCTGGTTATTCTAAAATAAATGAACAGATGCAGTATTCGAATGTGTATAACAGCAAAAAGATTTTGGTTGTTATGTTAAAAGAGTTTCACTATTGAAAAAAAAAACAGTTGTGTCAACTTCATTTCACTGAAACCAGTTAATCAACAATCACTAGTTGCCAATTTCTTGTCAATAAACTTGTTATGCATAGCTAAGAAAATGTCTCCAGAAAAATTCTTGAAGAAAAATTTATTGTTAACCAATATAATGATCTTGAACACTTTATTGGTATTGCTATATTTTATGAAATACAGCTACAAATCTTAAATTTTTTTTTTTTTATATATATATATATGATTTATGCAAAAAATGAGAAGAAACTTATTTACATGAATTTAAAAGACAAAAAAGTTGATATGTATATATTTATATATTTATATATTTAGATTCCGATTCCCCAATTTTCACCAGCGCCACTCATAGAGAGGATTGGTGGCACATAGTAAGATGTTTGATTTTCTGAAAAGCTCACATCGACACCGGAATCCTGCGATGTTCGATGATAATTTACAGGCACATTTACAGGAGTTGAAATTTCAGGACTATAAATATCTTCATCCTCGTAATTTAAATACGTACGAGTTGTAATATGATTATAAATAGGTGAGAAAAGAAATTCATCATGTCCTTGTCCGTCGTCCAAGAGTTTCTTTCGAAACAATAAAGTTCTTAGAGAATTATTTGTAGATTGTGCAGTCTCTGACGACTTTGTAGTACCGCCATTATTTGACAAATATTTACTGAACCCTGTCTGCTGCGGAGCCGGCGAAGCGCAGGTTTCAGTAGGAGGATGGTAATTTATGGCTGGTATCGTCAACATTAAATCTGTACATTGAAGTTTGAGTGAAGGTCTTGATTTGTGGTGAGCTTTAGTAGGTGATGTTTCTTCAGGATCTTGGGGTGCTGTGTAAACTATACTAAGTGGTGAGTTAGTTTTTACTTGTGTGTTTTTGGTGTTAACAAATTCTTGTGGACGACCAGATAAGGTTGAGCTCATTTTAGAAAATTTATCTTATAAAGGTGTATTTAAAAAAAAAATGATTGATCGGTATCTAATATATATGATAGATATAGCTGTTAGTATATATAAATATATATATATCAATATATCAATATATATATATATAATTTTTTTTTTTTTTGAAATACCTGAGGTGAAAGCGACTATGAGGCTTTAAATACTTTTCTACTGTGTGATTTATTATTATTAATGACTGATTATGTTTCATTTCTCCGTAGATTCCAAAATAATTTCACTAAATTATATAGTTATTCAAACTAATTAATGCTATTTTTATTCGTATACATGTATGTTTTTTTTTGTGCATGTACTGGAGCGAATAGAGAAATCCTGTACCATTTTAATCTCCTTTTTCTGGGGTAAATTAGGCATCTATCGGCTATACGGTGTTTGTGATGATGTACAAATGTAAAATGTCCAACGATTCGATAAGGTTGTAGGACACTTGTGCTTAGAAAAAATATAATAAAGTAGTTTTATCGGTGATCAGAATGATCTCATATGTATAAGGAAATGTAATGTGTCGCATAAACACCTATGGAGTATAGAGTATAAACAAATACCGAGCATTCCTTAATAACAGAATTCTTGTTGGACTCATTTCATCAATTGTTCTTTTTTCTTTGCTACGACGTACGTACGTTACGTGCATACCTAAGTATTTAAACGTACGTGCAGAATTCAGTTAAAAAAACGCCATTTCTCTGCAATATCTAACTTTATTTGTGTTCATTATATGAATTATATTATTTATTATTATTATTATTATATATTATATATAATACGTAATTTATTTTTTAACCAATAAAAATATTTAATGTTATAAATAGTACAATACATAGAATGTTTAGAAAATAAATCCAAAAATTTAGTTAAGACTAGGTAAACAAGGCGTTGTTAATGTTCTGGGCATTTATGTTTTTATTATTATACTAGCAGCACATTATTGTTTTCTTGTTTAATGCATGGCATTGTCGTTGTGCGTACCGAAGCCTACTATATACAGTATAATAACATTCATTTTCCGACAACTAACACACATTAGCGTTAGATCTAGGTTATAAAAAATATGCATTATCTCATTATCTCTAGCAACATACAATATCTGATACGTAATCGCATATCCTAATCAGATATTACACGAGTTGAATCTGATAAATACTGTAATAAATGTAAGCCTGAATTCTCATTTTCTCTTGGCAGCACTCAAATGATCTCTACATTTCGGATTCATTTCGAGCTCATCAATTTTTTATTATGCTACGATACATTACATATTATATATATATATACAGTATATATATACAAGATATATACAGCTATTTATCATCAATATATCCATCCGTTAATTATCCTCATTTGTCATATGCACATGTTGACTATTGGCCATTCTAGGTTATACGTATCCAACTTTATACATATGACATGTCATAACCCCTAATACTGTAATAACGTAAGTCATAATAGGTCATAAGGTCATAACCTATGTATGGCTAATGGGTCATTGCATGATGTTACCTTCCGAAAGATAAATATTTAACTTATTAAGAAATATCATACGTAGTAATTAGGCAGAATGATAATGGTTGTTAGCCCAAAAAATTCCGATGTTAAAAATTTAACCTATCATTATTTAAGAAATAGCATGACAAATATTAAGAATTGGTTTTGAATGATGTTAGGTTAAACAGTTGTTAAATGATTAAAAGTATTTCTGAAACCACGCCTCAGAAAACCAATCCTTGAAAGCTTGGATGACGCATGAGGCTTGTCGGCCGAAGACTGTTGAATGATGAACTACTGAAAGCAACCAAGGTGAATCAACAATACGTAAGAGGCTTATTATAACCGCCCAATCTACTATATTTGAAGAACGTAACTTAAGTGAGGCTGGTTACGAAGCTTATGTGCAAAAGTAGGGGCACATAAGAACATTGACATATGATAGTTCCTTTTAATTATCTAAAATCACCATAGTCACGCCTCTAGTGGGTTGCCTTATTGTTATTTTTATTATACAAACAATGTGGGCAATTATTTTGAATCCAGACCAAAATGTTATTACGTTATATATAATATAAAATTGGTCCGAGTTCAAAAATAATTACTTATTTTTTCTTATAGTGCATGTAGTTTATAGACAAACCTATTTTTTTATGGGTATTACTATATAACCCTGCATTTTTAACAAGGTTATTTTTTATCAGTCTATATAAAATATGATTTTTATATAGACCGATGTGAACAATCTTGTTACAAATTGTTGTATACTGTGAAGGGCCCAGATTTTTAAAATTATTATTTGCTAAAAAAATTTAAAATCTCTATTTATAAATGTACTTATTAATTTATTTATTTATTTAAATAAAAAAAAAATTTAATTATTTAATTAAAAAAAAAAACATGCAAGTAGCTAAAAATAATAATAAATAATATAGTATAAGAACTACTTTTAACAACAAATATATATATATATATTTTATAAGCAATTCTGCTTTTATTTATTTTATAAGTTAAGCTATACAATTGTATTACACATCTATATAGTATGTTGATAAAAATTCACCAAGCCAAAGCCCAATATGACCTGCTATAACAACTGTTAGTCTCTCTTGGGATTCAAAACTTGTTTTGAATTTTGCAATGACAAGGTTGCTCTCTTAATCATTAACAGGTCATTGCCTACTATATTAGGATCTTTTTTTCCTTTCTAATTCTTTTTTTTTCTCAAGAGGCATGAGACAAAAGGGTGAAATTTTTAACAAATGATTTACAAAAACAAACAAAAAAGAAAAAACAGAAAAAAAAAAAGAAATACTGATTTTAAAAAAAAAAAACATGAAAAGAAATCCAAAATTCTGAAGATACTATTATAACTTGTGTTTTAATAACAAATATTATTTTTGTAATAAATAATAACTTCAAAATTATTAGCAAATAGTATATAAAAACTATTTTTAAATAATATTATAGTTGCTATTTTATAGTTTGCAATCTTATCTTTGACTATATTTTACTATAAACTATTGTAATTTTTAAAAAAATTTTCTTAAAAATCTTTAGTACAAATAATTGTTAAAAAAAGCAATGTTTTTTTTTCTTTAATAATTTTATATTGATTTTATTATATAATATTTTGCCCAAGTATATTACAATATTTATATTAGACAAATATCTGGCTGCTTCTTTAGAGTGTCCAAGTATAGTTATCATACTGATATAAGCTAATAAGTTTATATGAAGTACTATCTTTATTTAAAAATCTATTATAGCTTGATACTTAGCTACTGTATTAAGATTAATTATTGTCGCAGATTAAAATAAAATCAGATTAAAATGAAATGAGAGACCTTTTGCTCTTCTTTAAAGCTTATCTCTTAAGTTGTAGAGTTTGTGTAATAATTTTAGCTTAAAAATAGTATAAATTTAGTTATGATTTATTTTTTTAATATTTAAAATATTTAAATAATATTTGAAAATAAGGATTATCTTTTTATAGTATTTATATTTATATTATAAGAAAAAATTTTAAGTTACTTAT